GCGCACCTGTCCCACCCGCGCACCTCCTGCCCCCACCCAATCACCTGTCCCACCCGCGCACCTCCTGCCCCCACCCGCTCACCTGCCCCACCCGCTCACCTGTCCCACCCGTTCACCTGCCCCACCCGCTCACCTGCCCCACCCGCTCACCTGTCCCACCTGCTCACCTGCCCCACCCGCTCACCTCCTGCCCCCACCCGCGCACCTCCGGCCCCCACCCGCTCACCTGTCCCCAGCTAGTGAAGCCCGCTGCTGGACTCAGGCGCCTCAGCAACAACACCTCCCACCCCCAGCCCCCAGCGCACTCATGGGGAGCTGGGAGGGGCCTCCTGCACTGAGGACCCCCGCCCTCCCCCCCCACAGGCTCCTGGCCTGGTCAGAAGACCCGGGGACAAGGCCCCTCCGACGGCAAGCCAGTGGGGACTGTGTTCTCAGCGCTCAGACAGTGGGCTTCCACCCCAGCTTCCACTCTGCCTTGTAAAACAAAGCCATCCACCCTGGGACAGGTGTCTCAGGAATCCGGGCAGTTTCCGTTTTACAAGACAAGGGAGTCTGGAGACGGAAGGAGGTAGAGGTTACACAGCAATGCCCCGACCTGCACTCTTACAGATGATTACAACCGTATGTGTAATTTTATCACAGTAAAAACAAAACAAAACAAAACAAAACCAATAAACAGTCTTTGTACCCAAGGACCAGAAACAGCAAGCCTGTGAATGGGTGTCAGTGAGCTATTGCCCCGAAGGATGGAGCAGCCTCATGGTAAACAGCCATTGCTGGGAAGAGACCGGTCCTGTCAGACACACCAAACACTTTGCCTCCATTCCTGAGCGGGGGGCACGGGTGAACTCGGGATGTTCACATCCACCTGACCCAGTTGTCCTTATAAAGCCCAGCTTCACCGTGCTGCCGGGCACGGCTGAGCCTGTGCACACACACATCTCAAATAAGGCCACAAACAGGCATTTATGGGCTCAGCCATACCGGCTTGGAGCTGGCTTTCTGCAGTCGTGGCGAGCTTCCAAATCCTCCTTCTTTCTCCTCATGGGGTCACTGCCCTAGCCATCGAGAGCAGCTAGAAGGAGCAGAGCCCAGGTCTGGACAGGCCCTGGGCTGCTCCACATTCCAGAAACCCATCCAGCACAGGGCGCCCGCAACTGCAGGCCAGAGACCCTGCAGGCCTATTTGGGCAGCCTCATTAGAGAGCGGTGACAAGGCAGCTTGCATCTGAGGACAAAATCTCAGCAGGACTTCACTGTCACCCCACCACTCTGCAGAGCTCCGTTTCCGGGACCCTGTGACCGACCAGCTGGCCTTTTAAAGCTAAGACCTGGTCTGAGGAGCCGGAGTCCTGGGGTTCTGCGGACACTGCTGCGGCGGGTGTGTGTGTGCTGTCCCGCAGTGCAGGAGGAGCCTGAGGGGGACGATGAGAACGGGCGGAGGCAGCGGACAGTGAGGGGACTGCCCCAGGTCAGCCCCCAACACTGCTCCTCCCCCATGTCTCCCCATACAAGCCACTCCTCCCAAAACCTGGCTAGGGCTGGTGCCCTCCAAGGCCTGACCCTAACCCTAAGCCCCACCCTGTCCCCACCTCAACCTTCCCCACGCCCGCTGTGACCCTAGCAGGCAGAATTTACATTCCGTTGGGAGAAGCAGGCAGGGCAGAGGGCAGCCCAACCAGCAGATCTTAAAAATACTCTCCTTAACAAAAGAGTGAATGAGTTCCTGCGAAGGAGCTACTTGCTCTGGTTTGTAATTTCCCCGGGCCTGGGGGAACCTAAGGCACAGCGTCCAGACAGCTGTTGGAGAAGGGGGCGAAGGCCTCATCTGCCAAGACTCCTTCTTGCTCAAAAGAAACTCTCCATTCCGAGGTGATCCATCTACAACAGACCCGTCATGGCCGAGTCGCGAGAGCTAATTTTAACCTTCCGAGTGCTCGTTAAGCCTCTTTGAGTTATAATTACCCCCAATCTCGAGACATTACAAGGCAGCAATCAGGAAGTTAGATGTGGACAGGAGAGAACAAAAGGAGCAGGGAGACAGTTTCGAGCGGGCCTACTTAGAGGCCTCGAGCGGCGTGGCTGCCCCGGAATGAGGACGCACGCTCAGCTGCACGCTCGCCCCGCCACCTGCACCCCTGCAGGAGCAGCCTGGCCCGAGGGTCGCAAGGGTCACGAGGGTCACAGAGGCTCCTGGACACTGATTATCTACTGCCACTCCCCCCCCCCCCCCCGCAGGGGCTTCTAAGACACTTCCTTTGCGGCCTTGAGTGGATTCCGGTCTCTAAGGAAAGCGGCTCCACCGCAGGGGGCGGGGTGTCAGTGTCTCTAGTGAGGGGGTGTCAGGGTCTTGGTCCCACAAAGCCCAGCAACTGTGCCATCTGCACCCTCAGCTCCCAGCTGAGTTAGGGACCCCCAACGCCCCGGACTAAAGACCCTAGTGCTCCTGAGCGAGGCTGACTGCCCACTCTGACCCCCCCCTTCACCAGCCTGTCCACATCCTCCACCGACAGACACAGGTGGGGCTGGCCTCCCCAGAGCTGGTGGGCCGCGGAGACGGTCCTGCCACGGCCTCCTTGCTGGCTCCTCCCTACCTTGCCGAAGCTGCCCTTTCCGATGGCCCGAAGGATCTGGAAGTGGTCGAAGTTCACTGCAGAAAAAACAGAGAGATGCCCGGTGAGGCGGCAGAAAGACCCAGTACCATCCACCAGCCCCCAGCTGGAGCAACCACCCAGGGGCCGCCCCCCACCACTGCAAGGAGCCCCCCTGTGCCCTGGAAGTGGGTCCTGGTGCTGGCTGGAGGCTCAACTCACGCTCGTGTGTAATGCAGGGACAGCCTGAGCCAAGGCAGAGAGGTGGGTCCTGGGGGCCACGCTGTCCCTCTTCTGGGCTCCTTGCAAGGCCAGGCCAGGCCTCGCTGCCCACAGACCGCACACCGGATGGGGCGTGAACAGAGCAAATGGCACCCACAGCAACCCTCTTCAGTCCCAGGTACCCAGACACCCCCACCCTGAACTGCCCCCAATGCATGAAGCCCTACAAATAGGGGTCCTGGAGCATGGGAAACAGGCCCCCTGCCCTCCTGCTGAATCTACTGTGGGGTTCACAGGATGAGCTACAGGGGAGCCTACTGTGGCCCCAGGATGAATAACAGGGACTTTCCAAAGGGAGGTCCCCAGGCCTGTGTGAAACCACCCGGATCCTGATTTCTATTAACTTCCTCCAGACATAAGCTCCTCCTAGAGAAAGGGGTCATTGGAAATTGCAGCTTTACAAACTGTCACGGCGCTCAAGAAAGATGCTCCCCGCCACGCACACAGGCCCCACACACGCGCTGCGCCGGGGGGGGGGGGGGGGACTGTGAGTGAGAGCAGTTCGGACACGCTCTCCAGGACTCTGCTTCACTCTGATCCTGATGTGTAAGGTCCACTCCACTGGTTTCCTTCCCATGGGCATCTCAGTGCCCCAGGCAGCTCAGGCCAGCCTTGCTTTCCACACCTGCCCGCCCCCCAGGGCTGCGGCTCCCCCAGCTGAGTCTCAGGCCACCAGCTGGTCCCACCTGTGCCCTATGTCTGCACCCCCCCAGGTCCCC